TCAAACTTAGGTAACGTCCTCTTCTTCCTAACTGTGATTATATGTTGCGGCTGCTGACGCAGGCAGGGTCTAGTAGAGCCTGGAATAGGTTGTGCGGAAGGTGAACTGCCCTACTCTGTGTCGGCACCAAGGCCATTATGTTCCCATTCCTGTTCCAGAGTCAGTGTTTAAGTAAATACATACATACATACATACATAAACTTACTTCAAACTGAAAGTATTCTTTAAAGTAACTCTCTAGCATTCTCCCAAAATACTTGGCAGCGTTAGGACTCGAGCATTTTGAGGACAAGATTAAAGTAGCAAAATCAAGAAGACAGCTAAGACCGAGCAGACAAAGTAACGTGGAAGGCGCTGTGGAGAAGGAATTAGAAGTTGAGGGAAGAACACAGAAAAACGAGAGTTAATGAAGAAAAAAGATTAGGAAAAAGAGGGTAAGGCAACAGAGGAGGAGGAGAATGTTAGATGGGAGAGGGCACATGGAGGTGGTGGCAGACTAGAGGCAGCTAAAGGGTGGGCGAGCCGTGTTGAAGGACAGCAAGTGACAGACAATTCGGAAGGAGCACAAATCCAGTGCTTGGCAAAAAGCAGATCAAAAAAAAGTGGCAGTACTTTAGCGAGTCCAAAAATGTTGTTCAAACGAGAATTCCTTGGTAAAAAAGTGAAAGACACTTAGGGCAATCAGAATAGACATCACTCCGGAAAGGCGAGAAAAGTAAAAAGAGTCAGTATGAAGGGAAAGAACAGCTGCAGGAAATGTTCTTTTAAGAATATGGAGTTACTGGAAATAGGAAACTGATGTTGACTGTGGTTTGTACAGGTTAGGAAACTGTTGTTACGGTCCTCGCAGCGAAGGCAGTCCAACCAGTGGCAAGACAAAGACTGTAAGGCGTAAATAGGCTGTTTCCTATAACCTTTATCAGATGTGAAGTGGGAATTTTAGTGGGAGAGTTTGAATTTCGTTGAAAGGAGATGGTGCGGGGAAGCAAGATGAAAAGGTAAATTGTCAGCCTTGCCTTAAGAAAACGTGCCAGAGGGAAGCAGGCAGCGGAGAACAAGCTGTAGCAAGAACTTGTAAGAGCAAGGCTAGCAAGGGAAGAAATAGCACCGAGGAGATGTCCAAAACACCATTAACGCACACCTGAGAGGTGAGTGCTCAGTCCCCACGTGCAGAAAAGAAGAGAAAACGTTGTTGAGAGTGACATTTAACTGCCATGGTGAAAGCAAAGCTGACAGTAATGAGAAGACGAAGAAAAGATGAAAGGTGCTTGGCTAGACTTTTCTCCCCAGAGAAAAGTGAGGCTGTACCAACGCAGATCTGAGTCTCAATTCCCAGAAGTATTTTGAGAGAAATTAGACTGGCTCACGAAAACTGGCGAAAAAAAAAAAAAGCAGATGTTCAGATCAGATAGAAAGCCTAACGGCTGTCAGCAAAAGGTCAGTTACTCTGGCTAACGCTGTACTGCAGACTCAAGAATATTCTAACTGCACTTTCCACTTTGCAATTTGTTTTATTTGCATTTCTTCTCGATAGGCATTTTGTTAACAACATTCAGTATCTTTAGAAATCAAAATACATTGCAAATTGCAACACACATCCAGAAACGAGACAGGTTGCATTCCATCCACCGAAGTGATCAAAATTTCATCAGAAACGGAGCATTCTTTGGTTAAATAAGAACAGCCGTTCAAACTAGCTGTGCTTCAATCCTGTACATGCATTACGTTTGCACGAATGACCAAAAAGTGAGAACCCAAGTTTAGAACTTTGTCTTCCTTTTTTCAGCAAGTATACAGACATGACTAAATGCATCTCTTAAATATTGCAAAACCACAGTTAAAGTTTTAAATAATACACATTGCACAACAAGCTTTTTGGGGGAAGCTACAGAAATAACTAAAATACAGAACACATGGAAATAAATTACACATCAGCTAGCTGAAATGCTTAATAAATTCATAAGGGCTTATCAAGACCTTTTATAAAATCCTTATTTGACCTAGTAATTAAAGCACAACAAATAAATATGATTTTTGCTATTGACTTGAACTGAAGCAAGATCAGACCCTTTACAGTCTCAAGGAACTATGATTTTATTATGGTATCTCAATAACTCTCTTCGGGTTAAAAGCTTTAACAAACATCACTTACCACGTGATGCCCAATATCACTTGAGACATTTATCAGTTTAAACAAAAATTGGAACTAGTGTATAATTAATAATGTAAAGCCCAATTCAGCAAACCACCATCTGCTCCCCTTTTTCTGCTCCAGAAAATTCCATTCAAAACCTGCAGGTCATATTTTTGAGTAATTTCTACAGACTTTCAAGGACTTTTATGGTAGCTGTTCCTTGGGAGAAGGAAGCGTGACATGAGAACAGGTGATTTAAGACGGTATTTCTTCATGATGCCCTTTTTGTCACTTTACATGCTATTGCCGTTTCATGTTCTGAGGTTCTGTCAAGAGCCTCACTGCAGGTCCATATAGAAAAGCTTCTTGATGAATGTGTCAATTTACAATACAAAAGCTACTCCGATTAATCTAGGTGTGCAGGGAGTCAGCCTATAGCAAGTAGGGTATTGTAAATTCAACCCCTTTCTTAGCACACGCTAACTTCTTACACAGTTAAAGCTCTACTGAACATCGTTGATACAATCCCTTACTGCTTTAAGGCAAGAGTGTTAATCAGTTAAGGGATAGGACATAGGACCGTGTCACTGTTACCCGGCTGTCTAAGGATGTAAGTGAAATTAAGAGTATAGTAACAGCAGCATTTCTAAAATTGTTCTTCTCTTCTTCAGCTTGTTTAAACATTAAGCTTGTACACTGGATTTGCTTAATCTGTGTGCGTGTGTGTGTTTAGGGCCGGGGAGAGAATAGGCAGTTCAGGTTTCTCTGGGCATAGTAGTGAACTGAGATAACGAAACATGTAATTGAAGTTGCACAGAAATGTTAGACCTGTGGAGATGCCCTTACAGGGTCTAGTGCTCTGCCTGTTGAACTCAGTTTTGAAAGTCCCATTAATCCTAACGGGCAAAGTATCAAATCCATAATGGACAAAGCTCTCCGTGGCAAAATGATAAGAATCAAGGAGGATTTTACTTGGTGGTATTCTATAAATCTGCACAGGATGGGCCATTTTGCTTCAGTACTACACAGTGCAAGATTTGGGGGCAAACTCAAATGGGAAAATGCTGCTTGTCTGCCAAGAAAAAAAAAGGAAATGGCTTCAGGCAGGACACTTCTTTTGCAAAACTACCTCTGCAAAAGATCTGCGCTGCTAACAGAGTCTCTGGCAATGAGACAAGGAAAAAAAAATGCTTCTAAGTGTCTAAACAAAGTTTTTCCCCTGTGTCTGTCTTTGATTTTTACGGAATATCAGGAATGGTAGTCATGCCTGGAGCCTTGAACTTGCCCAAGGGCTAAGTGGCCCCTGGTAGTTAAACCAGCATGGCGCCCAGCTCTGCTCCGGGAATGACTCCCTCTCTCCATGCCTGAACCAAAATAAGCTCAGCTACACTTAATTGGCTTCCAGCTGGTCATAGCTCACGCAGCTGCCTCTGAGCTCTGCCTGGGGATTCAGCGGTACAAGCTCAGGTCGCTCGCCCAGGGACCCCGGCTCCTCCTCAGCCCAGCCATGGTGCGGGCTGCTGTCCAGAGCTCGGGTGTCCCCCCAGGGGTGCTGGAAGACCTGCCCCGCAGGCACAGAAACCCCATCTCAATCTGTCTCTTTCTTAATGTACGAGGGAGAACAGCCGTATAATTTGCAAACTGTGTAATGACTTGGCTGGTTAGCCGTAGGACGTTTCTTTCTGTGATACCCTTAGGAACTGCCGAATAAGTTTACCAGGACATCTAGAGAAAGGGTTCAAGGTGAATAAAATACCTTTGAACTCTTTTAGTATTATCACATGAGATGCCTATTCATAATGTGTTTGCAACAAAGTTTCCACTTTCCGTCCTAGGAAAATGAGTTTTTCATGGCCTGAAATATCTACCTATCTTTAGGCTTCTTTGAAAAATAAATTAATGAGCAAGCCCTTTAAAACGTGGTGAGGAAACAGAGTTAAGGGATTGGCTCCACCCCTCGGTGAGTTAGTGATGGTTTACAAAAATCAGTTGCACAAATGAGTTAAAGCAGGGGCTGGAGAAGGGATGCAAAAAAATTGGGACTACAAGCTATTAAAAATACTTCTCCTGTCTCATAACAGGGACAGGCTAGCTCAGCTAGTAACATTTACTTAAATTCTTCTTATGAGAATGCTTATACTTGTATTGGGATAATCCTTGTGGGGCTCATTTGGTTTGGGCCCTTAACGTGTTTAACCAGCTTTGTGTCAGTGAGAGACAAGTTATGCCACGTTGTCTGAGGTGCTTGCATTTTTTCTACTAAAAGAGACAATTTCTTGCTTGCATTTTTTCTACTGAAAGAGAGAATTTCTACTCAATTTCCAAGTGAAATATCAAATTAGATAACTAGGGAAAAGCACATGTAGAAAATGTAAGTTAGCAAATGAAGACAGCTTTAGCAAAATATTTTTTTTAAAACTTAAGTATCTACATTTGCAGCTTTTATCTTAGAGTACTTACAAATCAAGGGAGACCAAGCAGCAGTAATACCTCCACAATGCACAGAGGGTTCTGAGTAGGCAATTTGCTTTTTCTGTAAATCAGAACATTATATTTAGCACACACTGTAGTCTCCCTGTGGGTGCACAGCAATAAAAGTCAAAACAAACAGATACAAAGCATTTTTAAACAGCAGTCAAGATGATGCATTGCCTGTTTGAAATGACACATTTGTACATTGCAGGGCAGGGCTAGTATCCACCTCTCCTTTATAATTTGAAAGTCTGTGTTAGTTTATTTTCACTCTGCTCTATTTTGAAGCCTTTTGGGGAAAAAAAAACACCACTGTAAAGTAACCATCCAGCATAAAATTTTAAAAGTGTTTGGAAAGGAAACTCAGAAGATCTCTATCTCGAAGCCCATTCAATCATCCTTTACTTGGAACTGCTTTTAAATACTCTTCTACTGCAATGGCAGAAACTTCTCCATACCAGCTTTGAAGCCAGATGTGCTCAATGTTCATTTTCATGAAGAACCACTCATAGCTGCGAGGCCACTTTCTTACCACCGGGTGCCTGGAAGGACAAATAAAAGAAAAAGAAATTTAAAAGATCTGCCAAAGCATACGCATACTCTGCTTTTTCATTCAGCCTAGTGTGCTGAGCCAGAGTGAAACCTGAGCTCTGAAAACCACCACCATTCACCTTTTCTGCCCTCCCTTGCAGTGAGGTTTATGACCATCCACACCCCAGTCTGCTGAGAACTGCAATGAAGGCAGCCAGCAAACATCACCTTCCCCCACTGCAGAGCCCCATCTCTAAAGGCAGATGTTGTTTGGTCTCTAAGTAAGTGAAAAATAGTTAGATGAGATTCTCTGAATGTGTGTCAGGGTTGTGCTTGTATCTGTTCAAAGGAAACCGTGTTCTGAAAATACTGTCTTTGGTAGCACTTGTTGTGGTATGGCAGGAGAGCTAATAAAACTGGCTAGCAGGCAGAGCACAGCCTCTTGGAGCTGTTGCCTGCTAGAGCCTTCTCATCCTCTATTACTGTCTCATTTCTTGGGCCTGCCCTTACAGCTAGCTCGAACAGACCCTCCCCGCCAGCAATCCTGGGTGCGGACGTCTGGTCCCCAAGCCCCTGCGAGAGCATCTGCAGAGGATGCTGGGGGACGCTCGGCAGCAGTGCACAGAGCGGCTACAACAGCTGGAGCCGCAGCGTTCACGGGAGCATGGGGGGAAGCGGTGCAAGTCGGGGCAGGGTTGGCCCTGGTGCCCCTCTGCCCCCGCAGAGGACCCTGCAGAGGAGATGGTTGGTTTGGCAACCTCTGGGTTGAGCTGGGGTTTCCACCATTTTCTGAGTTGTCCCTTTGAGCACCCACAACTGTGGCATTGGGAAGTGGCTCCAGCTGCTGCCGGCGTTGGATGGGGTGAGCCCTGGCAGCCCTCACCGTGTCGGTCTGGCTTTTGCTCCCTGACAGCGGAGCATCTGCTGCCACGGTGCTCATGGACTCTGGCTCGCGTAGGAATCCGATTTCTGCAAAGTTTGTAAAAAAGGCTTGTGTGCCAATATAGCCCCCGTCTGCCCCTGGTCCCATTTTTGCTATTGATGGGACACCTGCTGACAGGGTCCTGCCCTAACCCCTTCCAGCGGGGCAGAGAGAATGTCACCTCTGGGCTGTTTTGGATCCCAGCTTATCCCAGTTTCCCAGCAGTATTTGACTGACCAGGCAGGGCATGCCTGGAGGACCATCCCTGGCAGCCTGTGTGGGAGGTGCACGCCCCAGCTAAGGTTCAGGCTTGTCACACCTGTTATTCTGAAGACCCAGTGGAGGGCACAGGGGCACACCCTGGTATGTGTGTATGTGTCAGGGTTGTGCTTACATCTGGTCAAAGGACGCTGTTCTCTCAGTATTACGGCTTTGGCAGCAGTTGTCATGGTATGTCAGGAGATGTAATAAAACCCATAAGCTCCACTCTGCAAACAGGCTCGAGCCCAAAGGCACCAGAGCTCTGCTCCGCCTCTGAGTAGGGGGCTGCGGCTGAAGAGCACTACCTGTCCTAAGGTGGGGAGGAATCATTAAAGGTAACAAATACACCCTGGATTGATGGAATCTCTCCTTGGAGCCAAGTGAGATATTTTCATAATCCCCAGATTATAAACCACGTGCCCTACCAAAGTCCAACACTGACTAATTGCATTTCCATATTTCGTTACCTCAAGAGTTAAAAGGTCACACAGCTCTGCCTGTCATTCCAAGCCACACAGGAGCCAACGTGCTTCGTGGCCCCAAAGTAAAGATCAGGCTTGTTACTTCTCAGATTTTCCGTACCAAACGGCCACATCAGTATATTTGTCTCAAACCTGTGGGTTGCACTCTACTATGTGCTGTTACTTACAGACCTGGAAAACATTGCTTGCTTGGCAAATTCCACTTCCTCTGGAGGCACCGTGACCATCTGTCCCGTGAGAGTCAGCCTGGCGCACCTTGGATCCTCTGGATCAATTACATTTTTTCTGTGCACAGAGAAAAATGCTTATGTGTAACAGCTTGGTTTCTTTGTTAAGGGTTTTGGAGAAATATGAATTCCTGCTCGCATATAAAAAGCTTTCGTCATGGCATGATATTTCGTCAAGCCTTGCAGGTCTTTTCTATACCCAGCTGTAACATTTGGGGAGGGGCTCTTGAAGGAATAGTCACCTGAAAGAGATCTCTGCTGTAGAAGTTTACTTAACCTTAATTTATGCTCTTAAAAACTGGATTAATATATGTTAGATTGTACAAAATGTGAAAATGGCAGTTTTGAAGAGACCTAGTGAGATGGTTAGTCTGTGCCTATGCCTATAAAATAAGCATGCAGATGTGTATTTGTGTGTAAAACGTAATGTCTTTTCCCTGTGCCTATTCTAGAAACTCAATCCTTGTTCCTTTTTACCCATTTTTCAACGCTTTACACCAAAGAGACAAGTAAGATCTATCAAAAAAAATTCTCCAACTGTCTTCATCCTTCAGGCCGGGACAGGAAAGGTACTTACTTGTTGCTTTTTGGCTCTTTCTATACAGTAATAATAAATAACTCCCATTAGTAGCTGCAGGACAATTGCTGACTGACGTATACAATACAAGGATATAAATCATAAGTAACTTGACCAATCGCAAAAAAAAAGTTGCATGAAATGACAGCAAAGGCCTGATTCTGGCAAGTGCTGAGCAGCCCCAAGTCCCACTGCCAGCACTTTGAGACCGCTCAGCATCTCACAGGAATGTCTCCCCACATAACAACATAAGCCTGAAAAACTACATTAGGAAACGAAGACTGCATTTCTTCTTCTCTGTGTTTTAATCGGAAGCAGCAAATCACAGTAAATTACATCTCATCTGTGTGTGATTTTACTTAAAGATCTTGGCTTGAGCCCTTTAGCCTTAACTGCGTGCAATCTGCAGTGTTGGGTTTTTTTGGTTATAATTCTCAATATGTGCCTATTGCATGCAGGAAACATATGGGCATCATCCTGCAGCTAATTTAACACCTGCAGATTCCCCGCAGATGGTTATGAAAGACCGTGTAGCTCACTGGATAAGATATCTGCTGTTATAGATAGGGCCATGAACAGAGATAGGAAAGGCAGTATAGCGGGCTGATTGATACTCAGCTATGCCCAGTAAGCACTTGGCACCGTCTGTAGCCTGAGCTCCAAAGAGCCATTTGCAGTCACGTCATCTCTGGGATGTTTTTTCAGCATCCTCTTCAGTCTGGAGCAGCAGTTGTCTGAAGGGGGTGTTCAGCTTAATGACCTCTGGACAAACTCTACGCGTACTCTTTTTCCTCCGCTGTGCTTTCTGCACGGGATGAAGGGCAGCTGCCAAAGATCAAGCTCAAACTTTCTGTTCACATCAATAAATAATGGTCTAATTTTCTCTAGTACATTTTTTTTTTTAATTATGAAGTAATAAATGAATGGTGTTCTGAGTACCTGAAAATCTGCATTCCCTACCCTGGCACTGGGTTTATTTCTGTCAGAGTACAAACGTGTCTCCATGGTCACCTTGGCATGCCGTAGATCCTCAGCGCTAACTCCTGCGGCATGCTGAAGGTGCCGTTTCCCAGCTGGCTTACAGCGGCCTGAGAGCATCCTCAACAGCACAGCTCCATGCCCTGGGAGCACCTGTAGCTCTTGGCATTTCTTTCGCATAGCCTTCAGGTGTTGTGTGGCCGTTCAGCGTCCAGGGTCCAACGAGAAGCTCGCCCACCAAAACAGGAATAAATGTAGGCGAATACAGTGTATCCAGCTGTAGGGAGAGGAGCTGAATCCCACCGACAGAAGGTGTCAGCCGAGGGCCTGCGTGTCCCGCAGCCAGGGCGGTGCAGACCTGGATAGCAGAGTCTTGAAGTCCATTTGAAGTGATCTCCTGATCCGTTGTTATTTTTTGCACTTAATCTCAGTACTGTATCAACACCCTCTACATACCTGTATATATTTAACTAGATGATCCTTAAAGATATGGAAGGGAAGGCACTTGTCACTAGCAAAATTTCAGTTCAGAAGATTGCTTTACACTAGTAACTGCACCTGTGCGTATGAAACCATTTCCTCCACAGCCGAACGGTATCGTAAAACAACTGAAGAGCTGGGAAAAGCACGCGTATTTGCAAGTGCCTTTCTTGGGTATAGCTCCTAGGTAAGACGCTGTTAATTACTTTCAGAGAGGAATTAGAAGGGGAGATTGTTATTAAAGGATGTCTACATTTCACAGAGTGGATCAAGGTGATAGATTTGGGCAGGAGCAGGAGCAGGAGCAGTGAGAGGTTTTGGTCTGACACCTCAGATTATAATTTCTTATTATTTCTTACAATATATATTATTTCTTATAATTGTATATTATATATATAATTTCTTCTTTTTATGCAAGTACATGTTTATTCTAAAAGTGTACTTGCTGATTATGAGTAGGCAACAGACCTGACGTTGCTGTGGTTAAGCAGTGAATCCTGCCTGCCTTTGCTGAGATGGTTTTGCCTGGTAGGACTAGCGTCAGATGTGACTCTTCCCCGATTTACAGGAAAAAAAACTGCTCTCCATATATTTGGCTGACAACAAAACCCACACACTGTACATCCATATCTGGAATGGTTTTAGTTCTGTTTTTTTCCCTGGCTCCTTCTTCTGTTTGCAGTTTTCTCTATGTTCTTGTGAGCCAGGGTGTTACACTGATCGACACACACAATACTATCTTCCCAGTAAAAGTTACTCAAACTGCATTTTGCACATTGGAATAATATTCTGGAGGGTCAGTTTGTTTTTCTGGGAAATGACACAAACAAATTATTTGTTGAGATTATGTTAGATGAAGTTTTGGAAGAGCCGAACAGGACAATGATACATTTGAGTTCAGTACACTGTGTTATTACTTTGTTGGCTTTGCTTTTAGCACTGCCTCTTATCATAGGTTTTCTGTTTCAGAATAGGAACCTTGTATTCTAATCTTACCTTAGCATTAGTATTTTCTTTATCAAAGGAGCCCTTCATATTCTGAAGTAAATCTGTTTCTGCATCGTTTTTGGCATAGTATTTCCCTAATAATGTGTGATTACTTTTATACTTTTTAAACCATCAAAAATCCCTAAACTTACAGCTACCGCTTCTAACTCCATTGTGAACAGGTCTTGCATTTTCAGTGGTGTTACCAGTGCAACTAATGTAAATGCAGGCTTTGCTTCCTAGGAGTCAAGGGATATATCCAGGGATATATCTCATCTTTTTACTGAAGATAATAAAGGGATATGAGGGATAAATAGGTATATTTACTAAAATATTCCTCCCTCACATCTGTAGAGGTCTAATCATGCATTCACTAGTCACTTCTTGCCTTCTGTATAAACAAACACATATTCAGGCCTCAGTCCTTGGGTTCCTTTTATCTTTGTTGGCACAAGAACAAGTAGGTGCGGAGGAGCGGCTCTGTGTAACGTTTGTGCGCTGCTGACTGGGGGTGAGGGGGAGGCAGAGCCAGGGGGACAGGCGGCATGCTGGTGACACTGTCTCGCTGTCGAGGAAACCCGAGGTGGCTTCGCAGGCTCTGTCTTTACCAGAATCAGGTCCTCTGTCTCCCTGGACAGGATTTCATGAAGGCTATGATAAAATATGAACTGAAGAGAAGAGAAAGCAGGGAACTGTGGAAGGAGACCAAGCAATAGGGAAGATATTTATTTTTTTATGCTTATGTAAAATACATACACCTTGTTGCAGAAATTGAGGGAAGCCAGATTAAAATGGACGAAGATTCAGTTTATGCATTTTATAAGAACACAGTGCGTTAAGAGAGATTATCTTAATTATTCATCTGATTTGTGGAGAGAAAAGAATTTATTGTCTCTGTTCTTCTGCATACCGTGAGCAAGCTAGGTATGCAGAGTTTGAGCCGGTCCAGGCAGTTGTCTCTTCCAAGCATGTGAGATGAGCCATGAGCTGCATCCACTTACAAAGGTGCCAGCTTTACTGAGCTTAAGGAGAAGTCTGTGTCCAAGTGAAATCTGTTTCCCAACAATGATGCAATGCTGCGAAGCGCACTGCTGATGAACACGTCCCACTTATTTTACTGCGTACCACTAACGCGCTTTCTGGGTCACGGTTCAAGAGTGGTTCAGAGTAAAGAGTGCCACCTACTCATTAAACTGTTTACTACACTAGCCATCTCTTGGATTTTAATTAGAAGGTTCCAATACAACAGCTAGCTAAGTCCAGATCTGATGAACCCATAGTTCTGGCTGATGCGGTTATATGGGCACACAAGGGGATGAGGTCGGGACTTTGTTAGGATTCCCTTTTGCAGTTGAGATCTCTGCTTCGACTGACGATGCTCTGTCTCCTGGTTTTTGACCAAAAGTATCCCCGAGTATTATCCTCATTCTCAGCCCCTGCAGTCCGTTAGTGAGGTGAAACAGATCTGGCACAGATCAGCAGTAAAGGCAAAACAGGAGTTTGGGAGGCACTTGGGCAGGAGAGCCGGGTGACCCCCAGAAGGAATCGGTAGGAGGAAGGTGGCAGGGTTCAGTAATGCTCCAGGGACTGGTGGAGGAAGCAGGGGTCTATGGAGGGGAATCTCTCTTTTTCTTCTTCCCCAGCCTCCTTTTCCCACAGAGGAGCTGCCCTCCTTCTCCTCCACGCCCCTGAGGAGACAGGACCTTCCATCCTCCCTGTCAGGATCCATAAATCCTCCCCATCTGCCCTGCACGCAGTTCTCCCTGCCCTGTGAGAAAGCACTGCTTTTACGCCTCTATTTCTTGAGCAGAATGGAAGAGAAAAGAAGTTGGGAAAGAGCTTTCTCCTGTTGCAGAAAAGGAGAGCCAGAGAGCCAAGAAGAAAGACCCAGAGAACAGTTTTCCTACATTTTTTTCCACTTCAGAGCATGCAGCTCATGTGTGGCACAAGGGCAATGACTGTCTCCACACATCCTAACCTCCCTATAGCCGCAGCAGCAGCAGCCATACAAACCCATGCAATTAGGAGGTGGGGAC